TCCCTATTCTACTAAAATCAGTACAATCCAACTATAAGATGAAAAAAGCTATTTATCAGATAGCTTTTGTTTTGGGGCCAGCAGGTGGCATGGAGGTTAAGGCTGCTGGATCCCACATGGCTAACTACGTGGATCAAGTCCTGGACCCAGCAGCTTAAAAAACCATGCAGGTATGTGCCCTTGTGTGTCCAAAATACAAAGAAGAGAATGGAGGAGAAGGGACTGCAGCGTGCGCAGCCTCCCTGAGTACCGTCTCACTCCTTTCCCCTGCCCCCCCATCCATCTCTCTCTACCATGTGCAATGCAAGCAGCTGGCATGTAAATGGATATTTAATGGCAAAAAAAAAAAAAAAAGGCTAACAAAGGTGCTGTTGCCTATCCAAAGGTCCCTAAACTACACTAGTACTTCCCCTCTCTGATTTCTAGTAAATACCAGGAATATTCATATGCCCAGAGAAGATAAACCAATAGAAAACCCTCCACTCTATGTATTATACAAATTACAGTGATAAACAAGGATTGCTATTCATTAAAAGTGAAGTGCCATGAAAGCTGTTATTTGTGAATATATTCTTTCAAGATAAAAATACCTGCAATAGAAAATAACAGCAAATCAGGACCAGCAGATGGTGTAATGATTATGATGCTGGACTCCCACATAGTAGACCACAGTTCAAGTCCCAGACCCAGCAGCTCAAAACTCATACGAGGTGCATGCATGTGTGTGCCCAAAATCCCGAGAGGAGAAGGAACTGTGGCATGGCCATCCCCCTTGGGGGGTTTCTGTCCCTCTGTTTCTCTGACAAGCTCAAGTGCCCTATAGCAAAAATCTCTCTCAAAAAAAAAAAAAAAAAAGAAAGAAAGAAAGAAAGAGAGAGAGAGAGAAAAAAAGAAAATAGCAGCAAATATCAATAACAATGTTGGGAATGATCACTCTGTTTAATTTCCTGATAGGTTAATTAAACCGTGGTTACTTTTCTTCTCTCCACTGGGAATTTAAAAAAACCTGACCAAATACAAGTACTAGTTCCCAAAAGGCAGATACTTTCAGTGATGATCCTACCACTCACTTGTTGAAAAGAGATCCAATCATGCAGATATAATAGGAAATCTTTCAACACATACCCTTTTGTAAAAGCAATTAAAAATAAACCTATTTTACCTTCAAAAAGAACTGCCATATGATCCAGCAATTCCACTCCTGGGTATCTACCCAAAGGACAGGAGAACATTCATGGTTAAAAGCATATGCAGGGACCAGCAGTTAGCATAATGGCTATGTCGCTGGACTCCCGTGTAGTTGACTGCGGTTCAAGTCCCAGACCTGGTGGCTTAAACTCACGCCGGGTGCGTGTGCGTGCGTGCCCAAGATCCCGAGAAGAGAATGGAGGAAAAGGGATTGTGGCGTGGCCATCCCCACTGGGAGGTGATTTCTCGCTTTCTGTCTCTCTGTCTCTGTCTGTCTGGCAAGCGCACGCACCCTATAGCAAAAACCTCTCCCCTCCCCCCAAAAAAAGAAAAGAAAAGCACTTGCACATCTCTATTCATTGCAGCCTTATTCACGACTGCTAAGACAAGGAACCAACCCAAATGTCCACAAACAGATGAATGGATTCAAAAAGTGTGGCACATATACTCCATGGAATACTATTTAGCCATAAAAAAAAAACAAGGCCCTGGAATTTGATAGAAAGTGAACGAATATGGTTGCTGAGTGAAGCAAGTCAGGCCATGAAAGACATTTGTTATGTCTCCCCTTAACATATACTGACTGTCCACATTCTATGGCAGAGACTGAAAGACTGGAGGACATACAAGCATTAAAAATTGTTATGGACACTACAACGAAAGGGG